GATTGGTTTTTTTTTAAAGAAAACTGTTTTTTGTAAAATTTTAATAGGCCTATGGACCATACCGTAGTTTAAATGAATAAACTAACCAAATTTTATCAAAATATATCCATAAACAAGCAAACTAAAACGGTTGACTTTTTCTACAAGAACAACATAGGAATTTTGAATGTAGCATACAGTCTAGGAATTTTCTCCGTCACTTTGAATTTACAACAACGTTGCAATATACAAAAATGATTTTTTAAAGTTATCGAAATAGCAGCAATAATAATTGAACATCTCATGTAACAAAAAATTGAAATCCCGATTGTTTTAAAGATAATTTAAATTCTAAAACGCCTTGTTTCTATTACCCGATCTTGCTAGTTTGCAAACTTAATCTAGTTTATCCCAGCCCTACAAGTTTATGCCAAACTTTATCAAAATTGCTCGAGTTGTCGTGTTCACGCACGCACGCACACCAACTCGCACACGCACGCTCACTATAACTATATACACATTTGAACGAATAGTGTTTTTTAACTCTTAAGAGATATCTAAATGAAAATGTAAATCGGTCCTGCATCTAGGTCCTACCATGCCACCAATGGTATTAGCTTCTTCCCTATACGGGGAATCCGCTAAAAGAGCGTTGGCTTATGTTTACGTAAAATCATAGATGAACAAATAAATCCTACTGAAACAATCACGTATCTCAAAATAAAGTCTGACATAAAATATTTATCAACAAAAAATAGAAAACATAATAATCTATTACCCTACTTAAATCTTGTAAATACTCGTATACTTGAGCTCGTTGGCGTAGCTGTAGACAATTAGAGCACAGAACAAAAAGAATATGGCGTTTATAACACATAACACTAAAGCTGCGATAAAACTGACCCCGATGTCGTAACCCGTGTATTCATCTCCCCCGTACAATAATTCTCCCTCTTCCGTGTCCTCAGGGCTCTTGGTAGTATGGTTATCGTCGTCACCATTGGATTGGTGGTTACCTGGTCGTTGGATTGGTTCACCTGACGATGTTGTATTAGAATCTATTGTCAATGTTGCATTCTCAGTAGATTTTGTTGTTGTATTTGTAGATGAACTGCCATCATCTTCTCGACGTTTGCGTAAATATTTGGATTCTTCTGCGTCAAACTCTCCATCCTTGTTTGGGAAATTGTCGTCTCGACGACGTCTGTGATATTCTGACGCTTCTAATTCTTCGATTGGTTGATCAAGATGTTTGTTGCTGAGCCTGTGGTTGAACATTCGGTATTCGAGTTCGGTTTGCTCCTCTTGATCTCCGTGAGTTCCAACTCCCCCGCGTTGTCTGTATGACAATGACGCACACCACAAAGTTTCTGGGCATCGATCACTTACACACACCATGTCAGTGAGAGACTTCTGGTTAGAAAAAGAAATAATAGACCCCACTAGAAACAAAATGATTAATAGAACCAAAAGTAGCAACGCCATCATACATATACTTCTTTTTTCCTTGTAAGCTGCTGATATCATGACGACTCCGACGATCAGGAGAACCAGCACGAACACTAGCACGAATATCAGACTGGTGGGGAATAAGGGCATAACGTGGAAGTTCTTTATGAGAATCACAATCGCGATTTGAATCAACGCTGCTGCCAGAATCACTACTCCAGCCTGGAGGCTGAGAGACCCGCAGAAAGATTTAAAAACAGCCATAACGAATAATTTAGATTTAAAATGTCATTTCGAATAGGTAAACTTGTGTTTGTAAATTGATTGTGTTTAAAACAGCTGATTAAAACCTTACATCACAGAGCTTATGGATACATTCTTTTGATCCAGATGTGATTTTCCATGTTATAATCTTTTATCAATTGATTCATTTAAAATATAAAAATCCTTCCTGGCTCCAAAACGATAAATCAAAATTTACCATTGAAAACAATTTTTAATATAGAGCCTACAAAGTAGTCATCAAGCCAATCTGGACTTGTGGAGTCAAACTGAGGGTAACATCGAGTATTTCAAACCTAATTTATCCTTTGTCGATTTCAGTCTTAGAGAATTTCCCTATAAGGAAGTAGCTCTCATGGGTCTCGTATTAAGACCCGGGTCCAATCATTTTTTTAATTTTGATGTACCAAAAGGCCAAAAACACCATCCGTTCAAACGTATATATAGATTAATACATATATGTGTGTGTCCGTGAAAGCGATTACTTGAATAATGTTTTTCCGATTTTGGTCAAATTTGGTTTAAAGGTGTAAAATGGGATAAACTTAAATGAGTTCGCGAACCAGCATGGTCGGACCATGGGAACGGGGTTTTACAGGAGGTTTTATGGGGTAAAAGTTGGTCTTTCTTATTTTTGACCCTAAAAAAACAAATATTTTTCAATTTCTCTCTAGACCATTTTAAAGAGATTAATACCCCCACCGCAGCAAACCTGCAGACTAAGAGAATTTACATTTAACTGAATGGATTTTCAATTATAAATCTACTTAAATATCATCAGGTTTAACAAGTACCTAGGTTTGCTGCTACAGGGAGGGTAATATAGTTTGTTTTTAGCAAAATAATAAAAAGCTTACAGGTTTCATCAAAATACATCCATAAAAAAGCAAACTACAACAGTTTTAACTTATTCTCCATAAGAATAACATGGGAATTTTGAATTTAAACCTTTTTCTCCGATATTCTCCGATATTAATAACCATAAATACCCCCGCCGCAGCAAACCTGCCGTCTAAGCGAATTTCCATTTGGCTGAATTGATTTTCAATTGATCTATTTAAATAACATTAGGTTTAACGAGTACCTAGGTATGCTGCTACAAAGGAAACTAATAAAGTGTGTTTTTAGTAAAATATTGATAGCTTACTATAAAATAAATAAATTTGCCAAGTTTGATTAAAATATATCCATAAACAAGCAAACTACAACATTTGGCAATATTCTCCATAAGAATAACATGGGAATTTTAAATTTACCATTTTTTTAGTTTTCTCCGTAACCAATAACCGTACAAAAACACTTTGATATACTGAATTGTTTGTTTTTTAAGCTCTTTAAGAAGGTTTAGAGAAAAATTGGGAAATTTTGTGTTTTGAGGGTCAAAAGTGAGAAAACCCAATTTTTACCCCATAAAACCCCCCATAAAACCCTGTTCCCATGGTCCGATCATGCTGGATCGCGAACTCATTCAAGGTTATCCCGCCTTACACCTTCAAACCAAATTTCATCAAAATCGGATAAAAATTACTCAAGTTATCGTGTTCACGGACACACACACATATATATATATATATATATATATATGAATATATATATATATATATATATACATATATAAAAATTTGAACGAATGGAGTTTTTGGCCTCTGGGGACATCAAAATGAAAAAGTAAATCGGTCCCGGGCCTAAGTCTTACCATGAGACCTACGGTAATAGCTACTTCCCTATAGGGAAATTCGCTAAAAGACACTTCATTATACTAAATTATTTTTTAAGCTCTTTAAAATGGTTTAAAGATAAATTAGGACATTTTGTTTTTGAGGGTTAAAAATGAGAAACCCCTATTTTTACCCCCATTAAACCACCCATAAACCCCCATTCCTATGGTCCGATCGCGAATGAGCCATGCGAATACTTATGGAGTTAAACGGGGCAAAGCCCGCGGGTACAGCTAGTATATATATATATATATATATATATGAATTTGAACGGATGGTGTTTTTGGCCTCTAGGGACCTCAAAACGAAAAGGTAAATCGGTCCCGGGTCCAGGTCTTACCATGAGTACTACGTTAATAGCTTATTCCCTATTTGGGAAATTCGCTAAAACTAGGTGAAACCCGTCGAAATCGACGGTTACTTTCAAGGCTTGCGCTAATTCATCTAACTGCGATAAATTGAATGAAATTATACATACTTTGAGCATTTAGCATTGTTTAAAGATTAATAAGTGTACAGACAATAATGATATTAATTGCTTTAGTTACCTATGGGGGGATTAACTATGGTTAATCATTCAATGAATAAAATATTTCCTATACTGTACGTCGTCGGAGTTATTAGTATGTTATCTGGCATCTCTTCCTTTGGAAGAACCTTTAAATACTGTAGTATTAAAATCGTATTGGTGGATCTTTTGTAGTTAAACACTTCCGTGATTTCATCAGTGTAATGCAGATTATATCTATGATTTTATTTGGAAAAAAAATCTGTTTGTTGGGAAGACAGGTTCTAACTTCAAAAGGAAGAATATCCGTTACAGTGTAAGTTTGATTTTTCCTTCGTCACGTCGCGTCAGTTCATATCGTACTTCTGTGCCAATAAGCACAGTTTAGAGAAATTGGTTGTGATGTGGGGTTACTGTTTAAGCTGGAATTCCTTGACATGGGGGATGTCAGTTAGTTGTCTCAGCCTTATATATTACATAAAGTTGTCAATATAATCTCTCTACGGAATGTTAGGTGTAGTGGAATATACTTGAAGGCTATTATTCTACTTGTTGGCTATTATTCTTGAACTGTTAGGGGCGTCCTCATTTAGGGCCGTGCGGCTTCATTGGCAACAAAATGCAAATGACATAGAATTGTTGCATTTCCAAAAAGCAAAAAATAATGTAAATTGGCTATTACGTAAATATTGACGTTTACATGCATTGTTAATCAACGTGTATCTTATAAAGGATGATGTGATCTAGTTTAAAAGGAATATGACCTTTCTGCCATGACAGTAGCTGCTTAAATAGTATTTACTCATTGGGCCATTTTTTACAGCCAAAATGTAGTGTTATTTTCAATAATGTTATGTTACCAACCCAGTGTGCCACGGTCCGTAATATAGGCCACTGCAAATAATTTGTCAAGATAGGTACCAATTTAGGCAAGGTTTCTGTGTTTGGATGTTATTGGACACGGTAAGAGCACAATAAAATTCTTCTGCAGATGAATTTTCTGTTGGAGAAATATAAGCCGAATTATAAATGTCACAATCCGAGTTTGAGCGTTTTGTAACTATATGGGTAAGTTACATAGATTTCTGTAAGTGCTTCTCAATACACTTTAAGAATATATATTTTAGAGATAAATTAAATGGTTTTTGTTGCTGAGTAGCGCTAGTAAACATGCACAGCCCTTTTCGTTAGTCTAATAACATTCAAAGGCTCTCTAAGAGTTCAAGTTCTTATTTTTATACATATCTATATTACGTTTTCACTAAGCTGAATGAATACATCGAAGTAACATCTCTGAAAAGTCTGCAGTACATTGCAGTTTTCCAGCTTAATGATTTTCTAAATCATTCTCATATTTCTACATAAATATTGTAAAATGTTTTATCCAGTTGCTGTAAACTACCGTATGAATTTAACGAAATATGGACACGGCTCAAATAGTCACCGTGCCCTTCTGCACTTGTATTATTTTGTATTGTATTACACAATCGAATATTTTTCCATTGATTGAGAACATGTATGACAATAATCTCATGAACCTATGAAGATCCGTCTAGAATAATATGATAAAATATAGGGAAAAGGTGTGAAAAAGGCAGACACCAACCCGTAAAATAGATATAAGATAGTTCAATAATAAATAATTGTAAGAGTTACTGTGATAAAAGGATTTTCCACTGATTTCGTAATGGAACGTTATATTGCAAAACATGACATAATAAAGAAGAAAATCAATTTAAAAATCAGAAAATAGCATTGAAAATACTGGACAATTCAGTAACTTCCAATAAATGTGTTTTTTTTTATACTATTAAACTTACCGCTATAAAATACACATCAAACGAAAAAGCAACTCAAAGAGTTTATGCCTTCCAAAGACACATCATTTAATAATGATCCAACAGAACTGTAGATTTAATTGTACAAAGTTATAAAATAATCTCCAACTTTTTTTACCACTAGAAATTTGGAGGTTACTTGACGTTTTTGCAAATAACTTTTAAATGGTGAGGAAATCGACCAAAGTGGAAGGTATTATTCCGAAAGAGAATAAAATTTCCTACAATCTACTACGCATATGTTGAAAATACTCAATAAATGTAGCCTAAATTTGGCTTAAAATAAAAAAGTGTGAAATTTAATGTTTGCTATGATTATTGTCTACAGTTGAAGACGGGGATTTTCAATTTTTATTCATTTTGAGAAAATTTTTGGTACCCATCTTGAGTATTTTCAAAAAATGCATAATAGTAGATTGTAGGAAATTTTATTCTCTTTCGTAATAATACCTTCCACTTTGGTCGATTTCCTCACCATTTAAAAGTTATTTGCAAAAACGTCAAGTAACCTCCAAATTTCTAGTGGTAAAAACAGTTGTAGATTACTTTTTAACTTTGTACAATTAAATCTACAGTTCTGTTGGATCGATATTGTTAAATGATGTGTCTTTGGAAGGCATAAACTCTTTGAGGTGCTTTTTCGTTTGATGTGTATTTTATAGCGGTAAGTTTAATAGTATAAAAATTATAAAGCATTAAAAATGGGTCCATCATTTAGAATAACCCTGTACAATTTTAAAATTAACAGCTGTTTCATTAAAAAGTTATATCCACATGGCCAAAATGTAAACAAATCTGTGGAGGGATCTTTAAAGGCTTCTGGGGTAGAGCCCAAAGATAATTTACTTCGTTTTTCTTTTAATAACTCATCTACAACAGACCAAGACCTTTCTTTGGACACCTCTACCAAGTTTCTACGCCCAGCCGTTCTCTCAAATTAGTGGAGACAAAGTTTCTAATTAAATATTTAGATTTCCCCCATGTCAATCTTATGAGAGAAACTCTAACTTTGATGGAAGATCCTGCCCAAACTAATAAATATATCCAATGGTCCCCGCCGCAGCAAACCTGCAGACTAAGCGAATTTCCATTTGACTGATTGGATTTACACTGAAATGTCTACTTAAAAATATAACATTTATTCCCGATTTAAATAGAATTAGTTTAACAAGTACTTAGGTTTGCTGCATCAGGGAGGGTAAAACTGTTTTTTTTTTGTAAAATGTTAATAGTTAGTAAGAAATAAAAACATTTTCCAAATTTGATCAAAATATGTTCATAAACAAGCAAACTACAACAGTTTACTCATTCTCCATAAGAATAACATGGGAATTTTAAATTTAAAATTTTTTGGAATTTTCTCCGTAACCATTAGGCGCATAATAACGCTTCAATATACTAAATTATTTGTTTTTTGAAGCTCTACAAAATGGTTTGGAAATAAATTGCTAAATTTTATGTTTTTTGGGTCAAAAATGGGAAAAACCTATTTTTACCCCATAAAACCCCCGTAAACACCCGTTCCCATGGTCCGATCATGCTGGATCGCGAACTCGTTCGAATAAACGTAGGTTTACACGTTTGTACCAAATTTCATCAAAATCGGATCATTTTTGCTCGAGTTATCGTGCTGACGGACACACACACATATATATATAATATATAAAATTCTCGTGTCACAGTGTTTGTCTGCAAACTCCTCCGGAACGACTTCACCGATCGTTATGAAATTTGGTGTGTAAATTCTGTAGGTATGCGAATCGGACGTAAACTATTTCCCGTTTCGAAATTCTTAAAAGGGCTCCGCCCCAGTGGCTCTGGAGTTTCCCATGTTAACCTTATGAGAAATAGAATTAATGAATCTTAACAGCTGTTTCAATTAAACAAGTTGGTTCTGTTCTATGATGTTCAATAGCATTAAAGTTACAAGGATTACCAACAGGGTAAGGGTGTGTAATAATAGTGCTGAAAACTTGGTAGAGGTGTCCAAAGAAAGGTATTGGTCTGTAGATGAGTTATCAAAAGAAAAACTGAGCAAAATCCCTTAGGACTCTGCCCTAGAAGCCTTTAAAGATTCCTCCACAGAGTTGTATACATTTTGGCCATGTAAATAATACTTTTTCATTAAACAGCTGTTCATTTTTAAATTGTATTTCAAACAACACACATTTATTGGAAGTTACTGAATTCTACCAAAATAAGTATTTTGCAATGTTATTTTCTTATTTTAAAATTCATTTCCTTCTTTACCATGCCATGTTTTGCAATGTAACGTTCCATTACGAAATCAGTGCAAAATCCTTTTATCACAGCAATTCTTAAATCATTTCTTATTGAACTATCTTATATCTATTGTACTTGATGATGTCTGCCTTTTTCACCACTTTTGCCTACATTTTATCATATTATTCTACACATGTCAAATATTTATGTAGAAATATCTGCTCTTGTCGTGTCTAATAAAATCCAAACATAGAAACCTTGCCTAAAATGGTACCTATCTTGACAAATTATTTGCACCTGCCTATATTACGGACTTTGGCGCACTGGGTTGGTAACATTATTGAAAATAACACAACATTTTGGCTGTAAGATATATGGTACAGAGAGAAAATACTATTTATGCAGCTACAGTCATGACAGAAAGGTCATATTCCTTTTAAACTAGATCACATAATCGTTTATAAGATACGTTGATTAACAATATGTAAACGCCAATGTATACGTAACAGCCAATTTACAGAATTTTTTGTTTTTGGAAATGTCCCATTGCTATGTCATTTGCATTATTTGTTGCCAATAAAGTCGAAAGGCCGTATGAACTAGGAGGCCCCTAACAGTTCAAGAATAAAATCCAACTTCACTTCAAGTATTACACTACACCTATCATTCCGTAGAGAGATTATATTGACAACTTTATGTTATTGATAAGGCTGAGACAACTAACTGACATCCCCCATGTCAAGAAATTCCAGCTTTAACAGTAACCCCAAAATAAATTTCTCAAAAGTAAGCTAGAGGGTTCATTCGTTGGCACTGTACGATATGAACTGACACGGCGTGACGAAGGAAAAATCAAACTTACACTGTAACGGATATACCTCCCTTTGAAATTGGAATATGTCTTCCCAAAAAAATGTTTCTTTTCAAATAAAATCATATTACACTGATGAAATCACGGAAGTGTTTAACTACAAAAGATCCACCAATACGAGTTTAATACTATTTAAAGGTTCTCTTCCAAAGGAAGAGATACCAGATAACATACTAATAACTCCGATGACGTACGGTATGGGGAATATTTTATTCATTGAATGGTCAACCAAATTTGGCAACTAACGCAATTAATATCATTATTGTTTTTACACTTATTATTCTTTAAACAATGCTAAATGCTCAAAATATGTAGCCTATAAATAGTTGAATTAACGTAAGCCTTGAAAGTAACCGTCGATTTCGACGGGTTTCACCTAATATAGATAAACTTGTGCAGTTGAAACGGCTGACAAAATTCTTTAATTCCTTTAAATATGAATACTCATAAGGTTAACATTTTTGAGTTAAGAATATGTCTACAGTATATGTTAATCGGGAATGTCAGCTATCATCATACCAAATTTCAACCTTGTCGGTTTAGTATTTTTTGCGTTTACTTGTCACATACATCCATCCTCCATCCATCCATCTATCCATCCATACATCCATGCATCCATACATCCATTCATCCAAACTTCCTATAATATTACCTATAATATAGATAGATGCTAATTGCAGTTATGGGAGAGGACATGGTTTAAGACAATTTGGTCTTTTAATTTATACGGTATCCTATAATGTAGCACACATCTACCATAGCCCTAATGTTCTACCACTGCACCTAAGAAAAAAGTAAAGTTCTCTTGTGTACCACAACTTTTTGTTGCTAGTTGGTTCAAATTAGCTGTCATAAATGCAAAAAACATAATAGTGCTGCACCCTGTTGGTAAGTCTTATAACTTTTGAATGCTATTTAATATCATAGAACAAACTTGTGCAGTTGAAACGGCTGACAAAATTCTTTAATTCCTTTAAATATGAATACTCATAAGGTTAACATAAGAAACTCCAAAGCCATTGGGGCGGAGCCCGAAAGGATTTTTGAGTTAAGAATATGTCTACAGTATATGTTAATCGGGAATGTCAGCTATCATCATACCAAATTTCAACCTTGTCGGTTTAGTATTTTTTGCGTTTACTTGTCACATACATCCATCCTCCATCCATCCATCTATCCATCCATACATCCATGCATCCATACATCCATTCATCCAAACTTCCTATAATATTACCTATAATATTAGTAGGATAAGTAAACTGTTGTAATATTGTTTGTTTATGGATATATTTTTATCAAACCTGGCAAATTTATTTAGTTTATACTAAGCTAATAATATTTTCCTAAAATTCACACTTCAGTACCCTCCCTGTTGCAGCAAACCTAGGTACTCGTTAAACCTAATGTTATTGAATTAGATTTAATTGAAAATTAAGTCACACAAATGGAAATTTGCTTAAGCTGCAGGTTTGCTGCGGCGGGGGTATTATGGAATTGTAATTGATGTAGACAGAAGACTTTGTGGTAGTAAATGATTAACCCTAATTTATATAAGATACTAAATAAATCAATCCCGTTGGTCACAATTAGTAGCGCCGGTCGCTTGTTATTTGACTGGCTATACTGCAACCAGCGCTAATACCCGTGCTTTGCAACGGGGTCAGTATGCAAAAGAGACGATGGTTCTTTAAAAATGCCAAATGGTTTCACTCCTACCATTTAATTTAGAAACAAAATTTAACTGTATTACTTAACTTGATAATAATACGTTTTTGTTAACTCATGCTGTGATTACTTATTTAGGCTACCAACCATACGAAACCAATGATAGATTTTAAGGTATAATAAAAGAATGTGTTTAATGGTTTGCACTGTAAACGAAAAGCTATCACAATAGTTCCAAACCTGTCAATAGGGTAATTTTCTAACATATTTTAGTGAAATTATAATCAGGCGAATGGAAATTCACTCAGTCCATCACAGCACTAACAACACATACTAATAGACAATTGACAAAACATTTTCTGCATTTGGTTTGCTGCGGCAGGGGGATTATACTTAAAAAAAAATAAATAAAAAAATAAACCTCATGAAACTCAGGATAAGGGCCTAGGTTGATACGGCAATGATTATTCAAATATTAGAACAGACTCAGTATAATAGCTCATAAACATAAACAAATGAAGTAACTTAAAGAATCCTATACTAATGAAATTACATTAACATATGGTTTTACAGTCCCATTTAAGTAATGTTAAAAAATGTTTACATTCGGGCTAGTGACATCGTTATTTTAAATTTTTAATCCTTACCCACTCTGTTCTAATATCCGTGCAGTATTTAATATGTTTGAACCAGCTGTGTGAAATTGTGAAATCAAAATTCATTTGACAGTTAGTTCTGCTTGTTTACATTTTTAAACTTTGTAGGTTTGTTCTTTGTTACCATGAATACCATCAATCAATATATTTACTTTTAAATCTCTCACCTCAAATTTTTGAAAGCCCACTGGGCAGAGCCCTAGGTCAATATCGAAGCGGGAATAGTTCTATATGTATCCTCGGAACTGTAGCTCCATTTGTGTGCAATTTGAGCCCAGTCAATTCAGTAGTTGTTGAGTTTATCTCATACAAACACACAGACAGACACGCAGATACCACCTCTTCTTTATAATAGTATGTAATATGTATAAATAAATAAATATATATATATATAAATTAGGAAACAGTTGGTTGAACATAGCAATATACACATACAAACCATAGACTAATCAACACAAGGGGAGTAGCTTTTATCTATATACAAACTAGCTGTTACCAACTGGCTTCTCCACGTTTGACTTCATTTTTGTACAATATTTATTTCTGGTTCAATATTACATTATTCACAGAAGTTTTAACAAAAAAAAAAAAATAAATAAATAACATAAATAAGATAGTGGGTTTGCTCAAACTTGAGACACCCTGTAACATAGTAAATTTAGATGCAGGTCACATGTTCAATTTTCTTTAGGCTTCGTCGAACAAGAAGTCTTGGGGAAGCCTTCGGCGCAATCTTCATTTTTTATGGTTTCGCCAAGATTGAATGCCAGTGCTCCAGGAACATTGTGTAGAGAATTTAGAAATTTGAAGGCTGATTTTTCAATGAAGGTCGAGTCAGACTTTCATTTATTCCAAAACCTTCATTATAAAGACTTATATATACAGACTTCCATTATTTATAGTATTCCTAGCTCTTCGTGTATGTGGTTGTTTCTAGGTGTGTAGATTTGCAAACTGACCTTACATTTTTGAAGTCCCTTGAGCTCTGCCCCAGTGGCTTTTAAAGTTACCATGTTATCCTGATGAAGAACATATTTGATTACATTATGATCAGCTGGATTATTTAATTGCTGTTAATATTTTAGTTTAAATTAAGAAAACAAGTACTTCAAAACTGATTTGGTTTAAATTAAATATTTAGGCTACTAGATTTGACTATTACAATAATTAATACTAGGTATTTGAATTTATGTTGGTGTAAATGTTACAATGGAAATGCGAGAAAGCCTGGAAAAGTTGATATACTAAAAAGAAAACTGAATTAACATTGTTACTGTGCTGCATTTCTTGAGCAATCATTGAGCCGATTTGCAAACTATGGACACAGGAATGTCATAGAACACCACCAAGTAGAAGAAATATAAATAATGTGTTTTTTTAGAATTTATAATCGTTATTATGGACAACCTAATGCGGCTATGAGTGGGAAACATTTGTAGAAAACAATTAAAAACAAAATCAGTTTTTAAAAAGAGATAACTCATTGATTGAAAGATGTATCACACACAAAAAAAATAGTTATTTAATAATATTTAGTTAATTATAAACCCCACCTGAATATTAGTTTCTAAACAAATTAATTTAGATCATTAATCAGTTCTTAGTTAAATGATTGTCATAGACAAATATTTTATTCCAATATTTGATTTTCTTCAAATATGTTCTTGCCTTATGCATTCGTCTTTTCTTTAGCTGATGCTGATGGCATTACTTAAACAAATATTATTATCAGATAACAGTTAACACCCACTCAAGAATGTATTCAAGTTTTTAAAGCCGTTGGCAATTCGTTATGGAATCGGAATCAAAATAGTTTGTTGTCGAAATTGGAAACTCATTTATGCGTAGATCTAATCTTGGCCTATATTGTTCTTGACATCCTATTTCATTACTGGTATCACTAAATCTTTATTTGAAATTTTGTTTTTAGAAACAGATTTTATGATTGATGACACGGTGACACCAGTTCGCAGGAAAATCTTATGCTAGTATATAATAAAATAAATCGAAGGTTATAAAATTCACTTTGGACTATGGATAACTCATATCACAATGGATATTGGGAATAAATGACTAACATGTGACATCCTAAGATATATATTTTTTACCCCTTAAATTTAAAATAATGTGTTAAATTAATTTTTAATAATTGATGTTGCTGCCAATTTACAATATTTGAATTCTGTAATCTACATCTAATTTGTCATCATTAGTTTGATTTTCGTTTATGAGTTTTTGATCATTTTAGTTGCTATTATAAATGACCTTGTACATTGAAGGGGATGAATATAATCTTTATGGACAGCTTTAGTTAGATTAAACTTTAGCTTTACTAAGCTAAACAAACAATTCTAAAATTTTAACTTGAGAAAGTTAATTGTTTAATATGGGCATAACAGGAGTTTTGACATAAAAATGTATTCACTTAAACAAAGTCCATAGGCTAATATTAATTCTGATGTAGAAAACTTAGCTCACAACAGTATCGATGAATTCAGAATCCCAATTCCAGTAGTTCTGTGGATATATTTCCCTGAGATGTTTTGCCGATTGTGTGCAGGAGGCAGTGGGTTTCTGGGACAACACATTGTCCGGGAGTTGCAGGAGCGAGACCCACGGGTGACGGAGATCAGGGTGTTGGATCTTCTCCCATACAACAACAGACTGGGTAATGTTAGAACATGGTACTAATGCATAAGTTTGTTATTGAGTGCGAACATATTACACTATGTGATTCATACAGTACATGCAAATCCTCTTTTATTCTGATGGTAATTCCTAGAATCTGTGTGCGACTGGGTCCCTCCATCTTTGACTACTCCTTCACTGCCTCTTAAGTCACCATCTCATTCATTCATCTCTCAACCATCCACCTCCTTTTAGTTTTCTTCTCAGATCTTCTTTCCTTCTATCACCATAAACTCCTTCTTCCTAAGAAACCTTTCTTCCTAAACTCTTTTCCCGAGACCCAGCTGTCAATTTCCCTTTGATAGCTGGCTTTCAATATACTCATATTGCATTCACATTTAAGTTAAAATATGGCCAGGTTACACCGGAACAGTTGAATATAAATTGTTTGAAGTTTTGATCATAATATCTAGTGTACTCTAAATACCTGCCTACTTTGCATAAAGTCTCACCGGACAACTTTCTTGCGTTATATTCTACTTTAACTTCTTTACAACAAATGTTGATATTGTGATACAAAGTATAATTTTCCGATTTCCATAGAGGATTTAATAGGCCAACCATTCATTCTAAAATACTAGGCCCTAAAAACGTGATGCATGATTTTTACTTTATAGTACATTGGCTTGGTATTGTATCATCATCTATACTATTACAGATCAACAGTATCCAACTTAAACCCGGGGAATGGAAATGTTGCATATTTGCATATATTTCAACATAATCTATGATCAACAACTTACGAACAACACTGATGCTTTTAGAAACTAATTGGCCCAAATAGAAAGCAAGTTTGATATAACTAATTGCATACATGACGATCAATCTGTCAATAAATCGACTGTGACAGTTGACAGTTCTAGCTTCTCTGCTCTGATATGATTTGATCCTCTCCGCACAGGTCATGAGATCAAAAAGCCCATAGTGAGCATCGTAGGCGACATCACAGCTCCGGACAGCTGCAAGAACGCATTCCGAGATGTAGACTGTGTTATCCACTGCGCTGCCTTGGTCACATATGATTATCCCTCTGACTTACGAAGGCTGCAGAATATAAACGTACAAGGTAAGGGGGTTTTTTTTACAGCATCATTTATTTCTGGTTCAATGTAGACATTATACACAGAAATGTTAACAAAATTAATAAGAAATTAACTATAATAACATCGTTGGTTCGCCCAAACCTGAGTCACCCTGTAACATAATTAATTTAGAGAATAATTTAATCTTCTTTAGGCTTCATTCCTCCAATAGATCTTGAGGGAGCCTTCGACGTAGCCTCCTGTTCTCAGTTGCTTCACCAAGATGAAAAGTTAATGCACCAGGAACATCGTTTAAAGATTTTAGAAATTTTGAGGTGGTTTTTTCAATAAAGGCCGAGATAGACTCCACTCCTAGTTCTTCATGTATATGCCTGTTTCTAACAAACCAGGGAGCATTCGCCGCTATTCTTAGAATTTTGTTTTGAATCACTTGAATTTTGAAGAGTTTGTTTTTTGATATAGCTAATCCCCAGATAGGAGATGCATATGTAATCAAGGGCCGAATTATTGATTTATAGATTAGAACTGTACAAGCTGGCTTCAGAGTAGATTTCCTATTGATTAAAGGGAAAAGCTTTGCAAGGCGTGCATAACCTTGGGACAGTTTTTGATTAACGTGGTAGTTCCAATTCAGTTTTTTGTCCAGCCATACTCCAAGATATTTTATGGCCTGGTCATCAGGGTTCCAAGGTAGAAAGTTACCATATATTTGAATTTCATGTGGCAATGTATGTTTTTTCAAGGAGAATATTTTGGTTTCACATTTTGTTGAATTTAGGCAAAATTTCCACTTGTAGAACCAATCAATGAGAAGATCCACAGAGTATTGCAGGGAATACGTGGCCTCGTGGATGTCGGAATGTTGGCACAGGATAGCAGTGTCGTCGGCGTAGAGAGCTAATGAGGCGTCTTCTGGAAGAGGGATGTCTGCCATGTATAGATTGAATAATACAGGGCCCAAAATTGAACCTTGTGGAACTCCTGCATTGACTCGTCGTACAGATGATTTGGAAGAACTTATTTTAACAGAGAAGGTCCTGTGACAGAGAAACGATTTTACAATATTGGTTAAATATTTTGGAAATCCAAAATTAATCAATTTAAAGACAAGACCGTCATGCCATACCTTGTCAAATGTCTGAGATATGTCAAGAAATGCCGTTACTGTGTGCTGTTTCCTCTCAAACCCGTTGACTATCGTTTCATATATTTGTAAGATTTGATGTGTGGGCGAATGTTTTGGCCGAAATCCAAATTGATGAGCAGGAATTATATTTGCAGCATCCATCTAACAGACAATTCGTTTCAAGATGATTTTTTCAAAAACTTTAGAAAGTGTAGAAAGTAAGCTGATTGGACGGTAACTCGATGGAGAAGACTTCGGTTTATTGGGTTTATGAATAACTGATATTTCCGCATGCTTCCAAATAGAAGGGAAGTAAGATTTAGACAAACATGCATTAATAATTGATGTGAAATATGAAAAGCCCTTATTGGTGAGATTTCGCAAAATAATATTAGGAATGAGGTCATGGCCAGGTGATTTACTGAGTGGAAGTTTTTTAATTACTGCTTTAATTTCAGGTTGGCGTGCAAACTTTATTGGTAGTTCAGCAGATAAAAATTGTCCATTCAAAGTCTCTTTCACCATCTCATCGTCACCATAATCAGCAAGATCAGTGGGTTGAAATGTACTTTCATAAAAATCTGCCAACAGTTCACACTTCTGTGAATCACTCTCACAGATTAGGTTGTCTTTTTTCAACGTAGGTATGACCGAAGGAGTACTTAAAAGACGTTTAGTTGCTTTCCACATATTTGGGTCACTCGGATGAATATCAGAAACATACTTCTTATAATACTTCTTATAACAACTTAAGGTAAGGGTTGCTCTTTGCTGTCCAGACGAGGACAGCATTATTGGGTGGAGGTAACAAAATGGTTAGTTCAAATTTCGCTCTTACAGCAAGTATTTAGTAATCAGGTTCACGATACAGTATAGATACTTTATTTAATATAAATAAATAATAATAAAATAAAATATAAATGAGTGTATAGTTCTGTTAACAAGTTGTTGTGTTGACATTAACAAAATGTATTTACTTAAATTGACATAATCATGTGATTTGTTTATTCATAGAGAGAGGAATGTAGGAGATAACGTTCTGCATTTAGAACTTGTAATATATCTCAGCAGGCAAAGAATAAAAATGTAACGTCAGATTATCTGTCTTGTAACCGATTTTAAATGGTAAATTCTGGTAAATTTTAAATAGAAAATTGTTAATAAGCCAATCTTTTTCCACAGAACACCCTTTGCCAGAATTGTATCACTCTATTTTGCTCAATCGGACAGCTGATCGGGGGATATCTAAATCTTTATTTTTACTACAATGTAGAGGCATCTTAACATAAAATCATAAATTTTTTATGATCCGTCCGATTTTTGTGAAATATAGTCCTATTACTATGACCTGCGTTAACAATTACAATGCGTTTTATATGGGGAAATAATGTTATTTTTTGATAACTCAAAAACTAAAAGAGATATGGGTGTGGTTTAAATTCGAAAGTTGCTTGGAATAGCAAGACCTATAAAATGATTTGCTGTTTGACATATAATGCTCTTTGAATTTCTAGAGATTTGGCGTTGTAAATATTTTCAAAAACAAATTTGTTTGACATTTGTTGTTTTGTTATTTAGTTTGATAATATTATGATATCGGATACCAGAATAAAGATTAGCTCATAAGGAATGTGATAATATTAATCAGGGTAAAAATATCTGCAAATTGAAAAAATACAGGTTATTCCGTAAAAATCAAACTTTTTCAAAAAAGTGACCACCATTTTAAAACTGCTAAAGATCATTTACTCCTGTTTTTACCAAAATGTTTCTTTTTTAACGGGCTTTGAAATCATCTATAATATGATAGCCTATATTTTTATTTGATATTTCCGAGATTTGAACTAGTGACACCTATAGTTTTTGAACACAATGTATTAAAGAACATTAATCATATTTTTACGTTATTCATTGGGATTGATTTAGTGAAAATAATTGTATTTCGCCATTGTATAATGAACCAACGGTTTGTCTGAAATCAATTAATTTGGTACACCTGTAGATGTTGTAACAGCATTTTAGATCATTCAGGAGTGTTTTTATTGCTATATAAGTAGGTCTTGAATGTTATATAATATTCCTCCCACAAATTGTATAATTGGCATTGTATTTTGACACGGGTATCGCTGCTAGTCTGTTTAAACCCTTGTCAATGATAGACAATTTTCATTTTTGTTTATCTAATAGGCGTAAAATTCAACATAAACTAACTTTGTAGTTACTTGTTGAACTATGGATCAAGAAACGTGAACTCGTACTGAATACTTGTACATAAGTACATAATTAAAAGACTAAAACTGACATTGTGCTTAAGGTATTTAATTGAAGGCGTTATGTTTTTTTTAATGACACAATAGTACTATAACTGGTGTATCAAGAATAATTTACAACAAACTATGTATTATTTGAAAAGTATAAAACACAGAAATAAATAAGGAAATTCACGTGAAAGTTCAAGAACGTAAAATTTAAAATGTACAAATGAGCAAAGCTCACGTAAATAATAACATTCTATAAGATTAACTTAGACAACGCTTTGAGAGCGAGACGAGTGATCGCAGCGAACGAGCTCCAACCTAAAGGTGAGTGAGCGTAGCGAACGAGCTCCAACCTAAAGGTGAGTGAGCGTAGCGAACGAACTTCAACCAGGACGTTATTGAGCCATGCGAACGAGATCATCTTGAAAATTAAGAAGTTAAACAGGGCAAAGCCCGCGGGTTACAGCTAGTTTAATCTAAAATGTATCAAAGATCATTTATTCAAAAACTATGTCAATGATTATAGAAATAAAAAAAGATGTTCTAAAAGCGTTGCTGTATCAACTCAGGCTCTGCTTTCGATCTTAAGTGTTATGAAAATAATGTTATTGATATATTTTCATGGAAACAGTAAGAAAATTACAATGTATAGATATTTTGTATGCATTTGGAGGCTAATTTAAATAAATTTGAACTGCTTAACATGTGTTAGATTAACCTAACATAACTTGCACATCACATTTTTTTTTTTTTATATGTATATTTAGGTTTTTTTTTAACAGCATTTATTTCTGGTTCAATGTAGACATTATACACAGAAGTGTTAACAAAATTAAAAAGAAATTAACTATAATAACATCGTGGGTTCGCCCAAACCTGAGTCACCCTGTAACATAATTAATTTAGAGAATAATTTAATCGTCTTTAGGCTTCATTCATCCAATAGATCTTGAGGGAGCCTTCGACGTAGCCTCCTGTTCTCAGTTGCTTCACCAAGATGAAAAGTTAATGCACCAGGAACATCGTTTAAAGATTTTAGAAATTTTGAGGTGGTTTTTTCAATAAAGGCCGAGATAGACTCCACTCCTAGTTCTTCATGTATATGCCTGTTTCTAACAAACCAGGGAGCATTCACCGCTATTCTTAGAATTTTGTTTTGAATCACTTGAATTTTGAAGAGTTTGTTTTTTGATATAGCTAATCCCCAGATAGGAGATGCAAATGTAATCAAAGGCCGAATTATTGATTTGTAGATTAGAACTGTACAAGCTGGCTTCAGAGTAGATTTCCTATTGATTAAAGGGAAAAGCTTTGCAAGGCGTGCATAACCTTGGGACAGTTTTTGATTAACGTGGTAGTTCCAATTCAGTTTTTTGTCCAGCCATACTCCAAGATATTTTATGGCCTGGTCATCAGGGTTCCAAGGTAGAAAGTTACCATATATTTGAATTTCATGTGGCAATGTATGTTTTTTCAAGGAAAATATTTTTGTCTCACATTTAGTTGAATTTAGGCAAAATTTCCACTTGTAGAACCAATCAATGAGAAGATCCACAGAGTATTGCAGGGAATACGTGGCCTCGTGGATGTCGGAATGTTGGCACAGGATAGCAGTGTCGTCGGCGTAGAGAGCTAATGA